CCCTATAGATAAAAGAATACATGTGATATTTTCTGCGATTCGTCATGTTTAATATGTTGTAGTTATTCGAATAAGGAGCGATATGGTTTCGATATGGAATTCCAATCGCAAATGTCATGCAACTATTTTGAACTTTTTGTATGTATTTTTTGGTTCGTGACGATAGCGAATCACCATAGACGATATCTCCATAGTCAAAAAGTGATAAAAGTAAGGTATTACACAAATAATATTTTTGTTTGGCTGATAAATGCTTTTTTAATTTATTTATATTTTTTAATCGCATGTACGCTTAATTTGTTCTGTTTTTATATGACTGTCGAAGCCAAGCGAGCTATCAAATATGATGCCTAGATTTTTTGTCTCCTGAACCATGGGAATTCTGTCATTGTTAATAGAAATTACTAAATTTTGTTCAAAATGTTCTCTTTCATTAATGTTTTTATTTATAACCATTACTTGCGATTTTGAGGGGTTTAGTTTAAGATTGTGATGCTTTGCAAATCTGTCAATTCTTTGGAGATCTGAATTTAGTTGTTGTTGTGCTATATGGATTGTGGTTTTATTGAAAGGAATATATATTTGTGAGTCATCTGCATATTGTGTTATGTTTGCGAATTTTACCGATTTCACCATGTCAGACATGTAGATTGAAAATAGCAAAGGAGATAAAATTGAACCTTGAGGAACTCCTCTTTTTAGGTTTAAAATCGGTTTTGTAAATAGCGGAATCATTTGATAACATAACACAGTTTGAACGGTTGCTTAAGTATGTTTTTATTAGATTTACGGAGCTCTGCGAAAACCCCAGGTAATGTAGCTAGTAACATTTCATGATTCAGAGTGTCGGACACTTTACTAAATCGATAAGAGCCATGCACGTACTATTTTTTTGTTCTTGATGATGTCTGATATCATCCAAGATATTAACTAATGATGTACTTGTGCTAAAGTTTTTCCTAAAACCGGATTGACTATCGGGTATGATATCGTTTGTGTCACAAAAAAATCTAATTTGATTATAAATATGCCTTTCTAAAATTTTGGATGCTGCGGGTAATATGCTAGTATGCCTCAAGCCTGTAAATTCAATAGGTTCTGCTATTTTTGGTAAGGGTTTAACAATAGCTTTCTTCCATATTTCTGGGAATAATCCCCCCAAAACGCATGTGTTGAATATATTCAGCAAGGCATTCGTACAAAATGGGATACATAACTTTAGGTCTCTCATAGAGAAACCATCCTCTCCAATGGCATTCGATGAGATATTAGTTACAATTTTGATTAGACTGGTCCTGTCTAACAGTTGGAAGCTAAGAGAATCGTTAATGTTTACATTGTTTTTGTAAAAATTGATTAATTCTTGGGAAGCCGTGTCTGGTAAACTGTCGGTCTGTTTTAAGTAATTGTGTATGTTATTTATATTTTGTAAGTGTTCGGGTATAGTTGAGTGAGTTTTCTTGCATGTTATGTTGAGCTTTTTGGTAGTATTCCAAAACTCCTTACCTTTCTTTGTTGAGAGTAAGTTAAAGAATGTATTTTTTTCTCGGATTATTGCACGCTTTGTATAGTTCCTTAGTTGTTTATAATATTCAAAATGAGCCTTTGATTTTGATTTTTGAAATTTTTTATGAGCTTTATCTCTTAGTCTGATTAAAATTCTTATATTTGGAGTTATCGAGGGTACATAAGGATTTTCGGTTATTTGTTTTGTTTTTATCGGAGCATGTTTATTCAGAACAGTTACTATACTTTTATTAAAGACTTCTATTTTTTGGTCGATTTGGTTTATATAGTAAATATCCTCCCACCCAAGTAGAAACCCTTCATTTAAGGAGTCTCTATCTATATTATTGTAGTCTCTATATTTAATAGTCTTTTGTGATTTATTTATTTTTGACTTTCGAAAGGCTGAAATTATGATCTGAGAGATTTTGAGAAACCGTCAATGATTTAGAATCAATAGAGATAAGATCCTCACTAGCACAGTATTTATCAATAAGGCTAGCCTCCCTTGTGAAAAAATTGAATCTTGTTGGCTCACTGATCCTTTGTGATAAGTTAAAACTATGAATTATATTTTTGAGGCGGTTTTTGCATGCAGAATTATTTAAAATGTTAATATTTAGATCTCCTATCAATTATAAATAATCATATTTGAGACTGACAAAACCGAGAAAATTTTCTAAGGAGCCTAAAAAATAAGTGACACTCTCAGAATGCGAATGATAAATATTAACTAAAAGATAAGTTTTTCCACCTATCTTAAAATCATATCCAGATAAAAAATGCGTGCTCAGTGAGAACCCCGACACTCAGACTCACTGACAATTCAGAACTGTACCGCGATTTCTGGCTGCTAAGCAAAACTACGGATAATGAAAAATAAGTGTTTCAACACAGGTAGATGGTTTTAATTGCGGAGAAAATTTGGTCAGGTGATTTCTCCTACATCTTCCTATGTTGTAACATGTTGTAACTGGAAGCGTCCATGTAACCATTGTTACCATTGGTAACAGTTAAAAATCTTAAAAATAAATATACTGTGAAATAAGTTCATTTATTTGTTTACCAACAGCGATATGTAATAGTAATTCAGTAAATAGCAAATTAGCCCAACGAAAATAATGCGCCCTATAGTGTCTAGGTTTTGTGAACACGATGAAGCTGACTCGCCTCGACTAGGTTGTCGGTTGTTAGCATTTTCATTTATGGATACACTTGGTAGTCCGTCGGGGACCGTCGGTACTGGCTCGTGTCTGATCGCGGTCCCCCGAGTGCGTGGGGCGCTGCGACTATTATGTGGGCTTGTTACCATTTTTTGATTTGGTTTACTCACTTCTCAGTCCTCTCACTCGTTAGTAGCCTTTTTGGTTACCGGCTGTAGTGTGCGTGCAATTAAACATGGATGAGTGTCGCTCGTAATCGATCAACTACTTGAAAAGTCATTCTCCTTGTATAATTTTTAAGAAAAAAAGGAGATCGCTAAAAATGGAAGACCAACACCTATTTTAGATAATTTTAAAAAGGAATAAAAAAACGTAGTTTGATATTTTAAATTAAGTTGCTATATGGACACTTTTGGTTATGTGGTTGCAAAAAACAAATTGTATTGTTGGCGATGTCTTCTGTTTTATTCAGAAAAAAATGGGTGGACCAGCAGCGGAGTCAACGATTTAAATAGTTTTAGGGCTCTAAAGAGGAGACATGAAATTAAACTCAGTTTGGCAAAACAAGAATCGAAAGTTGTTTTAACCAAGTTCTCAGGCAGCACACTTCTAGATAACGTATGTTTTTTGGCAAAACAGGAATTACCGTTCATTTTGAAGGTAATGACTCTGACAATAGAGGAAATTACAGGGAATTGTTAACAATCATTGCTAAAACAGTTCAAAAATTTTCCGAACATCTAGAAAGGTCGACTGTTTTTTCGGACGGCTTGGATTAGTCATAGCATAAGACGATGAGGTATATCAAGTGCCCCAGACGCTCAGTCCAGGAATGTTTACCTTAATTTAAAAATAGTTTAAATAAAATACCTAAAATAAGCAAAAACTTATATTCAGGAGGTTCAAAATAAACTTTTTTTAATAAGATTTTTCACATCTGGTTTTGGTAATAGTTTAGGAAAGGTCACGCGCGCCACTGCCAACAATCGCAAATTATTCCTGTACAAGGAATATCTCTTCCTAACAATACTATCCATGATTAGTTGTCTTGTCATATGGAAATATCTTGAGATTTCTCCAACTAACAATGTCGCCACAAAAGCTGTAATTTTCAACAGTCCAATGGACTTTGCCAATAGAAGACTATCTGCCATTTCATTAACACGTATCCCCACATACCTAAGTACCCGCCCTGGGACTTGGTACTTTGCTGCAACATCCTCTCAAGCTTCAGAATAACTTCCGAAATCCTGTGGTCATTGGAAAATCCTCACGTGGTCCGTAGGTCAAATTCTCAACAAACGTTTTTTTGATATTTGGGCTGATAAGATAAATGGTATGCTCATTGGATCTTTTATTTTCCCACATCGGTGGACGGTTTACAATGCCTAAGACTTGCTATGAAACATTTTACCAACGGCGACAACTTCGAACAGAGCTGTATTTGTAATTTCTCTGCAAGTGAACAGTACTTTTTCCCTACTGCTCCATCACAAATTAGCATTGTTATTTCAAACGAAGTTGTTTTTGAAAAAGAAAGTCCAAACTTCCAGCACACCCTGTATATCTCAAGCATATATTTTTCGAAAAGTACCATACGAAAATTAGTATTTGACAACTGAACCGATCAAAGCTAAAGATGTGAAAACCAACGCAAAGGCACACTCTCGTTAGTGCCATGTTATTAAATTAATAACATCACACGCTTGACGAGAAATCTTCTGAGAAATCTTGTTAGGCCATCTTCAACGACGCCCTTACACCACGGTTACTCCGCCGATATTAATTTAATTATGGTCAGATGAAGATTTACAGGCTTGTGAACGAGAAAGGTGATACTTTTGCAAAGAAAAGCATGCATATTTATTTCATACAGAGCGTGAAAAACGTGGCGCAAGTGTCAGGATCACAACAGGATTTTTCGCAATGCCTTAAGGACTCTACATATTACTCACTTAAAATGGCTGACATACCTGATCGATACCGACAGGGTGAGAAAAGAATGTCTATGGACTAATTGTACGAGCCTGCTTGAACAATTTATCATTTATATACTGGGTGACAAAAAAAAGTAAGCTCCTACGTATGTTTATCCGATTATAATAATTTTTGGCATATACGAGCCCCTTCCCACTTCAGTTGGCCCACTTCAAGATTTGTACCAAAATATGCTTTTATAAACTAAACATGACGAAACTATTAACTTCTAAAACAATCTATTCTCTCGAAAACATTTTAGATACACTCTAGTCGTAAAAAATACATATTTGAAATCACTTAGACCTATAACTAATAGAACATCTGAACAAATAAACAATGTGCGAATAAATGCGCGAAGTCGAAAGATTACCATTAGGTAACATCACCTTAATTTTTTATTACGGCTGAAATTCTTTGGGGCATAGTGTTAACCAAGTTTTGGCAAAAATTTGGTGTAAAACAATCCCATACTTCTTGAAGCTTTTGCCTCAGTTCGGTGATTGTACGAGCAGGATGTTGTCGTAGAACCTTTTTCATCTCGTGCCACAAGTTTCAATAGGTGACAGATCTGAACTGCTAGAAACCCATTTCAAAAGTGGTACATTATGGTACATCTTGCTGAAAAACAAAATCTTGGCCGGACGTCAAACATTCATCCATCACTGGTAAAAGCGATTCTTCTAAAATTGCCAAATATTTGTTTGTATCCACATTTCCGTCAATAAAATGAAGTTTTCCTACTCCTTTTGATCACATACTGCCCCAGACCATAATGGATGCTGGAAATTTCACTTTTCTCTTCAGACAGTCAACGTGGAATGCGCTTCATTTTTTTGCGAATAACTCTACTGCGATTGTCACCAACACAAACTTCGAATCGGGCCTCATCACTCCATTGGATTGCACACCATTGTTGAGGTGTCCATTGTCTATGTTCTTTAGCCCATCTAAGTCGATTTTTCTTTTGCAGTAGAGTTAATAGTGGCTTTTCTTTGGCCTATAAACAAGTTGTGCAACTTTAGGGTTTTTACTTCACTTTTTTATGAGAAAACTTACCTTGCAAGTGCTAAATCCCAGTTTACGGGCCTCTCTACGAGTTGTGGACCTCGAAATTCCCCTTCCAACAGCGTCACTCCACAGAGCACTTAATTGTAAATAATTAGCACGCCTGTTTTTCACGATTATTCTTCTTAATGCTCTTCGGTCGGCATTTGTTTTTTCACATATCGTGGCTTAATATTAACTGAACCAGTTACGTTATATCTTCTAACAATATTTCTCACACTGTACCGCGATAAGTCTAACAAAGTTGCAATTTCTGAGTTTGATTTCCCAGAATTAAAAATGTTATTATCATTTTGACCTTAACTACCCAAAACTATTTTAAACGTATTCTGACAGCTGTGATTAATAAAAATAGTTGTCATGGCTTTTATTTTTCACAGCCACCTATGCGTTATAGACTTGTTTTGCATTGAAATGAAAATAGGTTGATATGCTGTAATTGCAACATGTGTTATTTTTATGCTGCAAATTTGATTAGGGAGTGATAAAGTTGGTGTTTTCTAATATATATTATCAAAATATTCATTGTTAATATTTTAAACCTATAACACCCTCCTTCATTTTTATTATTTGTGTTTGATAAGAAATAAACTAAGATTTCAATAGTTGGGCCAACTGAAGCGGGAAGGGGCTCGTATGTTCAGTGTCGCTTACTAGTAAAATGATTAAAGGAGGTGGGCTGATAAGAGCCGTTTTTCGCCCATCAGCAAAATAGTTATGACATATATGTTTACGAAGAGTATACTCCATAACAAAGAAGAAAATATACTTATTTCAAATGAAAACTGAAATTAAATAATTATCTGAGTGGTATGTATGTTTATTAAACAATAATATAAGATAATCAGTTTTCATACACATATATTTTTTACTAATCTTCTTCCTTGTCTTCTTCATTCGAATCACTATCAGACCATCCGTCAGTATCATCAGAGGTACTTTTTGAAGTAAGAACTCTTGTTGTCCTTACAGAAGATGAGATTGAGGTAGGCGAAATGCATATGGGACACAACTTAGAACCAATCTGCAGATCACAGTTTTTAGATTTTCTAAGTATTGCCATAATGTTTTTGTACGAGCAGCTACGGAAATCACTGTTTGTTTTTCGCGACGTTTTACAACAATCACTCTGGCATCCGCATTATTGTTTTATCAACTTTTTCAATAAACGTTGAACCCGACAGCACAGCACAGTTTCTATACCTAAATATACTAAGTGACATATAAATCCGAACACCCAGTTTAAATGGTTTTATTTTAATAAAAGTTGGTGAATGTATTTATCTTACTGTAAATAACAAGTGAAAAAATTTTCAGCCTTATCAGTTGGACATTCCAGTTTTTATAATGCTTTTTTTTAATTCACTAACGCTCTAAAAATGAGTATTTCAGACGCAGTAAAGAATCAACGTTGGCGGGTTTTGGTTCTTGACATCCTTTACGATCGGTTACGATGCCTAGAGTACGGAGACCTGTACGATTTCGTCAACTTAATGAGTTTGATAGGGGCCGTATAGTGGGACTTCGGGAAGCTGGACTTTCTTTTCGGGCAATTGCAGTTAGAGTGCAAAGAAGTGTAGGCACTATGGTTAGGTGTTGTCAGGCATGGCTTCGAGAAGGCCGTACGCAAAGAGCAAGGGGCACTGGACGCCGCCGTAGAACGACAGACCGTGAAGATCGCCGCCTAAGATTATTGGCCTTAAGGGACCGTTTCTCCACTACCAGGTCCATTGCAAATGAATGGTTTGCAGAACACGGAAGACCTATTGGCATGCGAAGTGTTTACCGACGAATGAGAAGTTTTGGCTTGTTTTCATACCGGCCACACTGGGTCCTCCCTTTAACTCGAGAACACCGACGTAATCGCCTTGAGTGGTGCAGACAACGGTCACTCTGGGATCAGGAATGGAACAGTATTGTCTTTAGTGACGAGTCTCGATTTTGTTTAGGCATGCACGATGGTCGTGCCAGGGTTAGAAGGCGACGTGGTGAAAGGAGGAATCCACAGTTTTTTGTTGAAAGACATGTTCATCACACTGTTGGAGTTATGGTTTGGGGTGCTATAGCTTATGGTTCCAGGTCACCTTTAATCCTCATCAGAGGTAACATGAACGCGCAGCCTTATATCCACGTAGTTCTAGAACCCCATCTTTTACCCTATCTTGACACCCTGGCAGATCCAACTTTCCAACAAGATAATGCCCGACCACATATTGCAAGAGTCACAATAGACTTCTTTCAACATAATGATGTCACATTGTTACCATGGCCACCAAGATCTCCCGACTTATCCCCAATTGAGCACGTGTGGGATATGATGGGTAGGAGATTGCTCAATTTGCAACATCCTCCTCAGACTCTAGAAGCACTTCGAGAGGAGTTGGTGGTTGCCTGGAATGAGATACCACAGGAGGACATTGACCACCTGATCAGAAGCATGCCTAGGCGCGTTGGAGAATGCGTAGCACATCAGGGTGCATCCACACATTATTAAAGGTCAAAGGGCTTTAAAGCAGTGCAATCATTTTGAAATTTTTATCATTTACTTATTACGCTTCATTAAGTACTTATACAAAATTTTATATAAAACCATTTAAATTAGGTGTTCGGATGTCACTTAGTATACTTTTCGAGCGCGAAAAATCATGTTTGCAGCGTGACTCACACTCTCCCGCAGCATATATTACGTATTTTTGGATTGATGCGCTCACTGAACCAAAACAAATAAATACTCATATACAAGCTTATAATAAGTAGACTCACCGAGCATTAAAGCTAATGCGGTTCATGGAGCGCTTCGTAGGGAAAACATGACTCAACGATCGAAAAACAACAAAAATGCACAAAAAGCGCTAAATACTCTATTTATTGGCAATAGTTTCTGAAGAAACATTATTTATACCGTAAATATTATATAATGAAAAAATACACGTCTTGAAGTTCACAAATAAGTTCAATAATAGTCTGGAATCGAACTTTTTATTTTTGAATATGTTATGGATGAAAAATGGCCCTTATCAACCCACCTCCCTTTCAACTTGATTCGTCAACTGACTGCAGAAGCTGGTTCGATAACGTTTTGAGGCTTCCCAATAAGCTACACGAAATTTCACATTAAACTGACACCGTAAATGTACGAAAACTGGATGCTTCTTTATCATCAAACAATACACAAAAACTTAACTGGCCATTTTATCACTTGTTGTTCATGGGGACGGTGTTGAGTACACGTCCAACAATAAACTAAAAATGTCCCGCAACAACATCACCCACGAATCCAGCGAAACTCCTTTGCATGCTCTAACAGTTTCTCCGTTTGACAGACTAAGCACCTACTTTTCTTCGCCAATATTCTATTCTGCATCCTACTAGTACCGTACCATTTGCGCCACTTGCAACTACAGAACTGACTACTCTCGGCGAGTTCTACAATTTAAGCATATATTTCCAAGGTCATCCCTCCCACATCTCAAGGTCGTTCATTCCTACAAGGTCACACCCACTCAAGGTCGAGAGTACTCGAGGTCATATATGTTCAAATTCACACTTCAAGGTCACTCGGAAACTCAAGGTCACATTTCAATGTCATATTGCAAGGTCGTACTTCAAGGTCACTCGAAAACTCAAGGTCACTCGGAAATTCAATTTCACGTTTCAAGGTCACACTTCAAGGTCACTAGGAAACTCAAGATCATATTTCAAGGTCACACTTCAAGGTCACATTTCAAGGTCTCATTTCAGGGTCATCTTTCAAGGTCGCGATTCAAGGTCACTCGAAAAATCAAGGTCACACTTCAAGGTCACTCGGAATCTCAATTCCACGTTTCAAGGTCACATTTCAAGGTTGGCACCGAAGGTCAGTTCTCAAGGTCGTTTGGTGCCGAAGGTCGCCGCTCAAGAGCGTCCCAGAACATACAAACCCTATCTACTAAGATTAATCGATATATTAAAAATTATTGAATTCTAAAAAACATACGGGTTTACCTTTTTTTTGTCACTTAGTATACATGTTTATAGCTGACTTTTTTCTCGAAGGACATAACTTGTGCTGAACATAATCCTTTATGAAATGATGACGTCAGAAGTGCAGAGACGCCATTCTTTAACATTCTTTCAGCCTCTGTATGCTGCTGGAGGTCCGATAACTATTACCGTACAAACTGATGATTTTTTATCGCTTTATTCTCGTTTTATGATCCATACATACAACGCAGCGTATGGCCATCGTGAAGCATTAGAATGCTACTTTGTTAATGCATCACCAGCCAGTTTTTGTCTGGCGATAATGTAAGTCTCTCTTACTGACGTCGATGGCTACACAATGGATCAGTGGCGGAGAGGTATATGAAACTACACACTTACGTTTTACGACAGCATTGTAATATTTTGTAGTATCGAACTGTCAAAAATGCTGTTTATTTTTCTTCGGTATTAGCTTTTAGCACGACGCCGTGCACCAACTTGCTAGTCAACTCTTTTTTTTACTGCTGAGCTGTCGACATAAAATACGATAACGTTTCGTCTACATCTAAGTACGCTATCTGCTAGAATTGTTCAGTACTATAAAAGTTTTGCCCCTTTAGAATTCTCTGTGCCACCTGAACATATAGTCGTACGATGAGGACAATCATTCTTAAATGTAAGCACATTAAGTAAATTAATAGACGTACGGCTGGCGGCTACTATGCACTCGTGGACATACCTCAACAGGCAGTAACATGCAGTCTCCTGCGTCCGTTGGTTGTCATATTGCAAAACTTTTGTAGTGTCCTTTGTATGGGAACCGTTGCTTCTAAAATTAGGCTAAAAACTAAAAACCAGAATCTTAAAGCTTCTAAATGCTTTTTTTAAATCTAGATACGACCATTTTTCACCGAAATGCAGCCTGCAAAGACCACCAAATGTGAATTTTTTTCTTGTTCCCTTGGTTTTGTTTTTGAGTAGTTTAGTTTTCCTGACACATAACTCACGAAACGTATAGCAACATTTTTGAAAAACGACGAGTTATGACCAAGCAACTTAGAATTATGTGACGCTATTCTGTAAGACCTTGACCAGGATTCGTTATATCAACAAAACAACGAGATGCACCTGAAAACAGTATCTGTAATGAATTCATCAGGTTCGTTAGCGTCACATCTTAACCATGCCAATACATGGCACAACATTCTTCACAAGATCTTTTACTGACAATGCCATTGTGTCTTACAACAGCTTAGGCTCTGAAGTGTCCGGTCTTCCCAGTGTCTTAAAAAACATTTAAAAAAAATTTACTGGAATTACGGAACAACTTAACAACGTCTTTCGTTTTCGTACCTTGTATTTTTGATCAGTTATTTTTCCATTTCCTTATAACCTATTGTTATCTCTACTTACTTCTTTTCATACATTACATTACTCTCATTCTTTTGTATTGTGACTTAATCCATTTATTTTCACTTTTACTTTCTTGGCTAACTGACGAGAATTGTAATCGCGGAATATTTCGAAATTGAGATATGTTTTTGGATTTGGGCGGCCAACTAAGAAAACGAGGTACTGCATTTGTCAACCTATTCATCGCAGACGCTTGCAGCAAGAAAGTTTTGACGAAAATGGCCGAGGGAAGAATCTAGAATATAATTTCAAGTTTCTGAAATGGTCACTAGGGGGTGTAACCAGTGTTGCCATACGTAGCGGAATTCCGCTATTTGTAGCGGATTATTTTGAGAAGAGCGGCGTAGCGGCGGTAGAACAAATCAGCCCAAAATGTAGCGGAATTTATTACATACAAAACTATCATATTTATTTCACTGTTTTAACGTTAATAACGTTCTAAATCCTAAATAGGCAGTGGCTAGAGTCCGATTTATTATCACATTAATAATAAAATTGGTGCATTTGGTGCCGCCTGAGCCATCTAGGAACAGAGAAGAGAATTATTCCATTTGGCTTTTTTTTTCAATAACAGATGGCGTACGTACTGCTTTCAATACTAATCGTTTCTAACAGGTCCCAGCAGGCAGACATAATATTAGGTTTCTCGCTTTGAATTGTATTTTTCAGCTGTGGGTATATACTGTTTAGTTTCGTTTATATTAGTGTTCTTATTTTTTTGTTGATCATTTTATTGATATATCATTTGCTGCAGATTTTAATATTAAATCTACTGGTAAGTAACAAAACTGCGTAAACATCTAACATATTATAGTTTGATCCAGAAATAAATCTTAGCCGTGAAATTTGTTTTTAACGCTTTTTCTTCTGGAAAATAGGAATAATGGAAAGGCGACAGAAGTCCATTAACGATTGTTTTGATAAAAATCCTTCTAAAAAACAAACGGTGAAACCAAACGTGGCCGTACCATCCACTTCGACTGCATCTGTGTCCGACTCGGAGCATCCCGAACCTGAATACAGACAAAATAGAAGAGCAGAATCTAGTGGAATCAGGTCTAAGCCTGATAATTCGACTTGCGAATCTCAGGATAACCAAGAGCCAGAGCAACCTGTTAAGAAAAAGACACGAAAACAAATGTTTACTTCATCATGGCTAGAAGATCCGTTATTTAAAGGCTGGTTGGGACCTATTGAAAATGACAAGTTGAAAGCAAAATGTAAAGCTTGTAATCAAATAATGGGTGCTAAAAAATCAGATTTAGTAAATCATTCGAAATCAAAAAGGCATGCCACTAATGTACAAGCAATTTCGAATGTAAGAACGTTAGATAGCACTTTTCAGTCTCGGGAAGCACGTGAGTTGGAAAAACGACAAATATTTGCTTGCTTAAGATATAGTCTTTTAGTTGTAAGTCATTATATAAGTTTTAGAACTGTTGATCATATAACAGGAGTTAGTCAATTATATTTTAAAGACCCAGATCTCTCTAGCTTAAATTAAATTAAAAAGATCCAAATGCATAAGTATAATTAAAAATGTGCTGGCTCCTGTTATTAAAGACGAAATAATTTCAGAATTGGAAAATAAACCATTTTCTATTTTATTGGATGAGAGTACAGACCTGAGCAATACAAGACTACTATGCATTCTTGTAAGATATATTCATAAAAATTCAATCAAAACCCATTTATTAGATATAATTAAAATAAACGCAGATGAAGGTACCGCCAAAGGTTTATATTCTCTTTTTAAAAAATGCGTTATATCCAATCAAGTAAAAATTACCAATCTTGTTGGATACTGTTCCGACAACGCTAGTGTTATGATGGGCAATAACAAATCTTTCAAAACTTATCTTTTAAAAGATAATCCTAATATAATTGTCAATGGCTGCATTTGCCACTCTGCTCATTTAGTGGCGGTGGCGGCAGCTGAAAAGATTCCAAGCAACGTTGAAGCTCTTTTACAAAACTTATATTCTTACTTCTCAAAAAGCCCAAAAAGGCAGTGTGTTCTTGAAGAATTACAGGAATATTTCAAAAAGTCAAAATTAAAAATTTTAAGCCCTAGTAAAACAAGGTGGCTTGCTTTATCCAAATGTGTTGATAGAGTTTTGAATCAGTGGGACATCTTGCTTAGCCTATTTAGATTAGCTTCCATTGAAGACAAAAATCCTGTAGCAAATGTAATACTTAATGAGTTACAGAATCCATTTGTTAAGGCGTATTTAATGTTTTTTAAATTCGTATTGCCCATTTTTAACCAATCTAATGCTCTCTTTCAATCAGAGAAAGTTATGCTCAATATCATATCAATAGAGAGTGAGCGATTTGTACGTCATCTATGTACAAACTTTATGCGACCAGAATATTTTAAAAATGAGAAATTATATAATCTAAATCCTAATGATCCCCACTACTTATTACCAATTGAAGAAGTGAATGTTGGTCCGCATACAATGGATGCAATAAAACACTGCAATAACACGGCAATCGAACAATTTAAATTAAAATGTATCACATTTTACCAAAAATCGGTAGAAGAGTCCCTTAAAAGATTTCCTATCAAAGACAACTTCTTTTCAGAGCTAAAGTTTCTCTCACCGGTTGATGTGATGAACAATCGTCTTATTATAAGTGATACCTTTCATGACGCCGTTTTAAAAAAATTTGCCCTTCATATTGAAACCGAAAAGGCAATTTTGGAACTAAAAAAATATGTATTTATTTTAGTGATAGTGAGAAAGAGGAAATTTTAAAAACAAAAAGTAATGTCATTGAATTTTGGTCGTTTGTAAACGACCTCAAAAAATTTAATGACGAATATTTATTTCGCAATATAGGTAAACTGGCTCTAATCATTTTAACATTGCCTCATGGAAACGCTGATGTTGAGCGAACTTTTTCTTATATGCTTGATTACAAAACAAAAAAAATAAATAAAATAATACCATCAACTTTGTCTGCACTACTTACAATTAAATTAGACTTGGAATCAAAAAAACAGTGCTGTTTATAATATAGTTTTAATGAGAATCATTTAAACAAATATAAAAAGAATTTATATAATGTAAATAAGGAAGAACAAGCTGAAGAAGAAGTAATTTCTGATTCTGACTGTGAATAAAATAAGCAAACGTAAGCATTTCCACGTTTCCGCTTCTTCTTTGTCCTTATTTTTTGTTTTTTTTTCTGTTAAGATTAAGATATTGGTGATAGTTTCTATTTTTTTATTAGTTCCTAATTCTAAACCAAAGACAGTTTTGTTTTTTTAGAGGTATACTTTTTATGTTTTTACGAAAAATTGCAATTATATTATGTTACTGTTTGTATTTTTAGTAGGGTTTTTAGACAGTGTTTAAAAAAAAGTAAATATATGTAAAATATATATTTGTTGTTTATTTTAAGCCTCCCCCCCTTTAAATTTTTAGACCGTAGCGGCATGTAGCGGAATTTTGGGATACGTGTGACGGATATTTTAAACTTCGCTCTGGCAACACTGGGCGTAACTGCAACCTTGAATCTAAAAAGGTACTGTTTCTGTGAATTCTGCTATGTTAATCTAACAACAAATACCTGATCTTTAAA